ACGGAGCTCTCGGGATGCGTGAGTCGTCGTCGCTTGCTTTTGAGAGAGATGCAACGATTTGCTGACAACTCCCAGCCCTCGTCATCCTCCCTTCACGTGCACCCCCTGACCGAAGAAGGTAGCGAGCTTGGTGACCAGATCAGCGTCATCAGCTCCGAGAAGCAGAAGAAGGGCGGCGGCCTGACCCACCAGCTCTCCGACGTCAGCCGGTTCGCGAGCAACGGCTGGCATAGCGATATCACCTTTGAGCCGGTCCCCTCGGACTATGCCATGCTCAAGATCCACACGCTGCCGGCCACGGGCGGCGACACCATGTGGGCGAGCGGCTACGAGATTTACGATCGGCTGTCGCCCGCCATGCAGGTCTTCCTCGAGGGCCTCACGGCGACGCACGATGCAAAGTTCTTCCTTGACGAGGCTGAGCGTCTGGGAAACCCTATTCGTCAGGGCATCCGTGGCTCGCCCCTGAACCAGGGTGCGGGCCTCATGGCGGTGCACCCTGTCATTCGCACGAACCGTGAGTAGCAACGCCTTCCCATCGCAATCTCAATCTTTGCAAGCAATGCTGACCTCGAAAAGCCGTCACTGGGTGGAAGTCGGTCTACGTGAACAGGGGCTTCACAAAGCGCATCAACGGCGTGACCAAGGACGAGTCGGATGTTCTGCTGGCGTACATCTTCAACCTCTTGACGCAAAACCACGACGCCCAGGTGCGCTTCAAGTGGCGCAAGAACGACCTCGCCATCTGGGACAACAGGAGCACCTGGCACTGCGCGACGTACGACTACGACGAGGCCCGAGCCGGCGACCGCGTGTGCTCTCTGGGCGAGGCCCCGTACCTAGATGCCTCGAGCAAGGGGCGGAGGGAAGCATTGGGCCTCTGACTGGGGCGTAAGGCGTGAGGCGCGCAGCGTAAGATAATAATGAATGAATGCCCTCTTTTCTTTGCTCACTCCCGCTTTGACCGCGAGTCATGGCCTCGCATACTGTTGCATTGGCTGCCGGTTGTGATGGTTTGTGTGGGGAAACCCTGCTCAAGTCCCGACATCGAGGGGGATTAGCCTGAATTCAGCTCAAGCCTTCATCTATCCGCCCCTCGCGTGGCTTCAGGCAAGTCCGCGCACCCTCAACTATCGGGCAATTCAGCCGGCGTGAGGCTCTCCCGTCGACACCGCTCGCAGATGATCGAGCCAGGGGACGCGGCTAATGACAGCGTCCGCCACGTTTTGCGGTACCAAGCTTTCACGATGTTGTTTGCCGTGTGACCCGAGCACGGTCCAGCGGAATGCAACCGACACGGAGGTCGTCGGACGTTGCTCCTTTTGTAGCGGGATCAAGCAATCTCCCGAAGACGTTGAGATGGGGTCTGACGGGGGCTTTTTGCAGTGTCCGAAGCATATAAAAGGGTCGTCGCCGAGCCCTGGGAGAAGGGAGACATGACGCCTCACTCATCCACACCATCACAATGCAGACGTTCGCTCTCCTCCTCGCCGCCCAGGCCCTAGTCGCTTCGGCGGGTCTTATTGAGCGCCAGAGCTGCCCCAGTATCCACGTTTTCGGCGCCCGTGAAACCACCGTCGGGCCCGGCTATGGCTCGGCCGGCACCGTTGTCAACCTCATCCTGAACGCGTACCCCGGCTCGACTGCCGAGGCCATCGTGTACCCAGCGTGCGGCGGCCAGAGCTCCTGCGGCGGCATCAGCTACGGCAACTCGGCCATGCAGGGCACCAACGCTGTCGCCTCGGCTGTCAACAGCTTCAACCAGAGGTGCCCGAACACGCAGATTGTTCTCGTCGGGTACTCCCAGGGCGGCCAGATCATGGACAATGCCCTGTGCGGCGGCGGCGACCCGGGCTCCGGCATCACCAACACGGCCGTGCCCCTGACTGCGAGTGCCGTCACTGCCGTCAAGGCTGCCATCCTCATGGGCAGCCCACGGTACCGGGCTGGGTTCCCGTACAACGTCGGCACCTGCACGGCGCAAGGGGTGAGTTCATCTGCATCTGTTGTTCAGCTGGCATCGTGAAACTTCAGCTAACCATGTCAGTTCGCCGCGCGTCCTGCCGGCTTCGTCTGTCCCTCGGGCAGCAAGATTCAGAACTACTGCGACTCGCCCGACCCGTACTGCTGCACTGGTAACAACCAGGCCGTTCACCAGGGATACGGCGGCGTCTACGGCCAGGCGGCACTGACATTTGTGCGAAGCAAGTTGAACTCCGGGGGGAGTCCACCCACGACGCCCCCGACCACACCCCCGACCACACCTCCCACGACGCCCCCGCCCTCAGGCAGCTGCCGCAGCGCTTTACGGGCAGTGCGGTGGTCAGGGCTGGGAACGGAAGCAAAGTGCTGCCCCGCAGGGTACGTGTAGGAGCCTCCGAACCAGTGGTACTCCACAGGTGTCTTGTAAAAAGGCAGCTTTCCACGCCACGACTGGTCTAGGGGCTGGCACGACAAACACGGCATTGAGGGATTTAGCATTATGCCTGCTTTAGCTACAAATGCCTCACAATGACATTACTCCTTCTGGTCATAGGCACGGACTCGGCGGCGTCGCGGGTTCCTCGCTTTCGCTCGTCTCGGGCTTCTTGCTGCGCCCCCGTAGTGTTTGAATGACATCCACGATTTGCTTGCGCCCGTCGATGATTGGGAAAAAGCCGGCGACAAACATTGTGATCCACACCCAGATAATGGCAAGGACAAGCCAGGCCACAAAGAAGCTCTCACTAAAGACATACTTGGCCGCGTACATTGGCAGAGGCCACAGGACCCAGTGTCCGAAGAACGTGGCGAGCGACCAGTACGCACTGAGGCGGCCCCAACGTTTGAGCTGGGCCTTGTTTGTCTGATAGTCCGATTCCTCGACATTCTGTGTCGTACCATCGAGAGTGAGCTTCTCGTTGCGGAAGTCGGCCCAGTTGAAATTGGCAGGCTTCACGAGAGAAATAACGACAGAGTAGAGCGCCGGGCTTAACGCAGATGCCGTCGTGCCCCAGGTGCAGGGGGCCGCTTGACCGGTGGATGCGACGCTGATCTCGCCAAAGAGCGCTTGAGCAGTGCCGAGCCAGACAGCAAGACCAGTGAAGAGACCGAGGATGGGCGAGACGACAGCAGCCACGGTAGACTGTTTCTTCCAGAGAATAGCAAAGGTCGTCGGGAAGATGCCGGGGCATGTCAAGACGCCCAGCATGTACAGCGTCCAGCCGAGATCGACCTTGCCATAGTGAAGCACGGTTGAGAAGCAAGCAGAGAAGAGGCCAAAAAAGACGACGCCGATGTGACTCCATCGAATGACATCCCGGTCGGTAGCGGCCTTGTTGATGTACTGGCGGTAAATGTCAAAGCTGATGATGGACGAGACGGCAATGACCTGGGCCGACAGCGTCGACGTGACGGCCATGAAGGTGATGAGCAGGATCGCCGTGGCGCCACCCTTGCCGGCAATGGCAATGGCGGCGTACGGGAGCACAAGGCCATTGGAGATTTCCGTGCCGGACATGCGTCGAGGATACGTCGGGAAGATCTCCTCGCCTTCAAGACCCAGGGCTACAAAGCTCATCAGCGTTCCCAGGCACCAGGGGATGCCAAAGTAGGCAATACCCCCAATGACGTACCCAGGTACGACGGCCTGGGGACGAGCGGCAAAGGCCTTGACAAAGAAGCCCGTGTCCATGACGACGAGGCCAAAGTTGGCGAGAACGTGGATGATGCCGAACAGCATGGCCTGTGAATTTCAGCGGTGAAGAGATAGTTCATGAGGGCGGCAGACGTACGCCGTGGCTCGTCATGGTCAGGTAGGAGCCGTTGTGGTTACCGCTGACGGGGTGTGCCTCGCCAGCGGCCACAATCAGCTCATAGAGATGGGCAGGCGACGAAATCTCGGGCGTCAAGAAGGCCTTGATCGTGAAGAAGCAAATGATGATAGTGATGATGAACGTATGGACATAGTCGGTGAGGAACGTGGCCTTGATGCCGCCAACAAAGGTGTACAAAATGACACCGACGGGGAGGAGGAACGTTGCGGCAATGACGTGCATGCCAGAGCTACATAGTCAGCTCATGCCAGGATAGGGGTGAACGACAAAGACGTACAGCGCTGAGATGGCTGCGCTCGCGCCCAGCAGCATGTTGGCGACGGCGATAATGTTGTTGATGAGGCACAGTACGATCCAGACAATGTGGCCAACCTTGCCGTAGCGGATGCGGATAATCTCGAGCAGGGTGTGCGCCTGGGGGACACGCATTTTGCAGGCGATACCCAGGAGAGAGAAGAAGACAATCATGGGGGAACAGCCTGCGGCGAACCAAAAGGGACCGGCGACGCCAAAGTTGTAGCCGACGAGGGTACTTCCCAACATAGCCGTGCTCCAGAGCCACGACGAGATGACGGCCGAACTCGTGAGACCAGTGCTGACAGTCCTGTTGGCTGTGATGAACATCTCCGTCTTCTTGTTGTCTTCACCGACCGTACGCTTGAGGATGTGGGTAATGCCAATCATGACGGCAGCAAAGATGAAGCCGATGACGACGACAACGATGCTAAGAAAGGTCAGTCGAACACGAGCACGAGCACGATATCTGAGCGACACTCACTATGCAGCGAACTGCGGGAGAGGCGGTGCCACGACGCTGCCGGAAGCATCGCCCGATGCTGCACCTCCAGCCATGTTGTTCGCTTGGCAGTGTGTGACTGAAGCAGGATGGTACGGACAACAGCGAATAGCGATACCGAAAGAAGCGAGACGGGGAGAACGAAACCAGAACGCTGGGACTGCCTCTTGATATCGACCTGCGATCGAGCCCGAGACAACGCACGTGGCAGGCATCCGAACGCGCGGGTCAACATCCCACGCTCAAGATGAGGGCACGCCGCTAAATATGTCGTGATTGCATCGGTACCCAACGAGGAGGTGATCCTGCGAGACTCGGGTTCACCACCGTATGGCCCAGATAAGATTGTTCGAATGTTTGAAGGAAGATGGCCCCATTGATCTTCAAACCAGCACGACCGACATCGCTCGGCAGTTGTGCGACATACATTGCGTGTAAGACGATTGGTCGGCATGCGCCATCGGAACTTGTTCGCCGGGCATCTCATTGCGCGGGTGTATCGCGCCATCGCGATGCGACATGGGTCATCGAGGGGTAGTCGGCGGGGGTCATTTGAGGACGAACATTTCGGCACAGGCTATTGAAAGGCTATTCAGCCGTTCAGTCATTGTGTATTAAAGAGCAAGGAGATTCGCGTCGAGAACGGGGATCGCGTTGAGCACACCATTGAGACAGAGAGAAGACACTCGCCGCAATCACCAGCACCATGGCTTCCCCCAAGAAGCAGCTCATTCTGAATGCCTTTGTCGAGTCATGCAGCGGCCATCAGTCGCCGGGGCTCTGGCGGCACCCGGATGACCACTCGTCCGAGTTCAACAACATTAAGCACTGGGTGAAGTTGGCTCAGCTGCTGGAGAAGGGCGGCTTCCACGGCATGTTCATCGCTGATGTGCTGGTGAGTGATGATGTCTGTTCATGGTGAAATGCATCCTGACAGTCTAGGGCGCCTACGATGTGTACAAGGGACCCAAGAACCCTGATCCTGCCATTGTTTCTGGAGCGCAGTGGCCGGTCAACGAACCGTTGATGACAGTGTCAGCCATGGCTGCGGCGACGGAGAGTCTGGGTTTCGGCGTCACGGTCGCAACGACCTACGAACAGCCGTACCACCTCGCGCGTCGTCTCAGCACTCTTGACCACTTGACGGGAGGGCGTGTCGGCTGGAACATTGTCACGGGCTACCTCGATTCGGCGGCCCGTAACCTTGGCCACACCCAACAGCCGGAGCACGACGAGCGATACGTCATGGCTGAGGAGTATGTCGAGGTCATGTACAAGCTTTGGTGAGCCTCGATTTTCCACGTCATGCATCTCAATATAGCTGACAACCCAGGCAATCCTCGTGGCGAGATGACGCCGTCAAGCTGAACCGCGAGACGGGCATCTATACGGACCCCAAGCTCGTCCGGACGATTGATCACGTCGGCAAGTTTTACCAGGTGCCGGGCCCCCACATTTGTGAGCCGTCGCCGCAGAGAACACCGGTCATTCTTCAGGCCGGCACTTCACGGGCTGGAAAGGCATTTGCGGCGAAGAACGCCGAGGCCATCTTCGTCGCTGGCCATTCGCCATCTGTCATTGCCAAGAACATTGCCGAGATCAGAGCGGCGGCGCGGGATGAGTACGGGCGTGACCCTGCCTCCATCAAGTTCCTTGCTCTGCTGTGCCCGGTCATTGCGAGCACGCAGGAGAAGGCGCAGGCGAGGTACGAGGAATTCCTCAGTTATGGCTCCGAGGACGGTGCTCTGGCCCTCTTCGGTGGATGGACGGGCATCGACCTGGCCAAGTACGGCGACGACGAAGAGCTGCGGCACGTAGAGTCGAATGCCATACGGTCAGCAGTCGAAGCCTGGAGCAAGTCAGCGCCGGGCGTGGCCAAGTGGACAAAGCACACGGTGGGCAATCACATCAAGGTCGGTGGACTCGGCGCGACGGTCGTGGGTACGCCGGACTTTGTTGCAGACGAGATGGAGAGGTGGGTGGCTGAAGCCGATGTTGACGGGTTCAATCTCGCGTACGCGCTGATGCCTGGTTCCTTTGAGGACATCATCTCTGACCTGTTCCCCGTTTTGAGGCAACGCGGGCTGCTGTGGGAGGGATACGCCGTTCCCGGCGGCACGTACCGAGAGAACCTGCGTGGCGAGAAGGGTGCGGCACGACCTCCGCCTGACCATCCAGCGGCCAAGTTCCACTGGAAAGCTGAATGAGAATATGTCTGCCGCTGTGCAAGCTATGTTACGTTTGTCTAGTGACTTGACTTGAAAGCAGATTCGCAGATACCTAATCGGATCACTTGTGCTAAAAGGTGCGCATATGGGCAAGAATGTATTCAGGGTATCAAAATATGGATTAGACATTAGATCGGCTCGACAACCGGCTCAAGATTGCTGTTGGTGAGGGTTTCCCGGACCGTAGAACGATCCATCGGCAGGCGACATGACTGGATGTGCTGGTGCGCCGCCTGTGACTGGGGCCTTATGGTCTCGCGCGGGAGGATATTGAGGGGCGCCGTCATGTACACGAGGCATAGGCATAGCTTGCGGATACTGCTGCATCAGCGAGGCCTGCGCCTGCGGCATGACATAAAAGGGGCCGCCGTTTCCAGTCATGACAAAAATCTGCCGCTGCTGACGGTTGCGCTGATTGGTCTCGACACAGGCGCGGACGAACAAGGTAAAGGTGACGAGGCTGGGACATGTCAGCAATGGTCACTCGTCAACAAGAGCCAGACAAAACTCACAACGCAGCCGCGCTGGTGCCGATGATGCCATAATTAAGGCCCATGCCATAGTCAAAGTCCGAGCTGTCTCGGTATTGACCTCGGTAGAAGGAGAACATGCCCATGCAGACAATACCTAGAGCCCAGTACAGCCACGTGACAAGGTGGACGCCGACGTGAGCTCCTGGGTGGATTCCCTGCTTGCCGCCTCGCGCGCAGAGAGTAATGAACTCTGCTGTCTCCCACAGGACACACATGCAAGCCTGGGCAGTCAGCACAAGGACACGTCCAACGAGTATGCTGGTCAAAGTACGCACCGGTGGCAGGCTCAGAGCCAACGGAAGATGGCCAGCGTAGAGTGCGACGGAGATGAGAGCGATTGTCAGGGCAATGACGATGATGGCACAGGCGAGCTCGACCGATCGCAACACAATCTTGGCAATGTGCCACGATCTCGTGAACGGGATGATGCGAGGTTCGCGCGGCCCAGGTCCGTAGAGCGGTGGCTGCGGCGGATAAAGATATGGCTGTTGCACGAATGATTGCACGTTGTTGATCAGCGGCGGCTGGGTTCGGCGGGCAACCGTCGGCTGGGCATTGGGGGCGGGCGTCGTTGATCTCTCTGAAGAAAGGTGCGCCGCTGCGCTCGACTCTGCCGCTTTGGACTGCATGTCTCCCAAATCGCCGAGGTAATTGTATGTCGTGAATCGGTTTGATGGTGTCAATGAGCGCGACAGAGTGAAAGAAGAGAAGGAAGAGAAGGAAAAGAAGCGACAGACTCGGCGCAACGACCGTACAGGCGACGCGACGAAATGGAAATCATCGCGGGAGGGGGACCCTTTCCTTTTACAGCTAACAAACAGGCAGGCATCGTCTTCCTCCATACACTCAGCGCGCTGTGCCGTCGATAGCGGCGAGTCTAGCCCGCTTCGGAGCAGCCCCTGGCTCCAATACTCAGAGCCCCCTGGCCGTTGCCAAGCGCTTGTCAACGGCTCCCTGGATCCACGCAGGGTCATTGGACAACAAGTGGCGCCGCTCCACGGTTAAGGCTACGGGCGCCGAGCAATCTCGTTTCTGGTCCACTGCACTGCATATGGTCTGCGCAGGTGTGCTCAGGTTTCTAGGTGTGATTCCAGTCAGTAGTTAGAGGGCTGACGGCTGCATCGTTCGCAATCCCTCTCCTCGACATCCACAATCGATCGTCAAGCGTGTCAAATATTTGGCAAGGCCAAGCTCCAGGGCAGCCGATGGTATCAATTCCGCGTCAGTCGAGGGTCCGCTATTCTCTCTGCAGCACAACAACAAGTCCCATGATTCCCAGCATAACCGTCTTTAGCCAAGGGTGTTCCGAGAGGAGGATCGTGACGTATCCGACAAAGGGAATGTAGGCAACCACTGCAACGTGTTAGTCGGGACTGGCAAGGGGTGCTTCTGGTAACGTGCCGCTGCCAATGATGTCCTGTCTCTCCAAGTAGTCCTGTCCGCGCGCGTAGAGCTCCGTGTCGTCGGCTGCATTGTTGTCGCCCTTGGTAAGCAGCTTGGCCGAGGCGCTGCTTTTGTCAGTCCGGCCATCGACAAAGTCCCAGAGGGTACGCACCCAGCTCCAAACTTCCGCACGATGCGGTGGACAATCGGGATGTCCTTGTCCTTGACATTGTACACGACAACTTCGCCAACATCGGTCTCGCGGAGAAGGTTTCGGTTCCAGAGGAAGAGGAGGTCGCCACGCTGGAAGGCGGGCTCCATGGAGCCGGAAAGAACGACAACGATGGGCGAGGGAGAGTCGGTAATCACGGAAAGACCTTTCCACATCTGCAGGTCAAGGTCAGCAAGGTCAGCGATCAGGGCGGCGAGCCACGAACCATAAAGGCCGTCGACAGGATGAGGCCGAAGTTGAGGAGTTGGGCAGCCGCCTGCCGCGGGTTCTTGAGGCTGGAGAGCATGATGACTGTCGAAGCACGTCTTTTCGGGCTATGGACGTCGGGTTTGCGAGCTGGACGGCGTCGCGGGGTTCTTTGTTCGCGGAGTGGGATGGACAGCTTGGAGGCAGCTCGCGATAAAGCTTGAAGCTTAGTTCAGGCCAGCGAGGCTCATGCACGGACCAGGTGGGCCACCCCACTGCTGCCTTTCACGCCAAACCCCAACCTTGAGATGGTCGAATACATCCCTGGAGCCGGACTGTGAGTGACGTCTCAATCATTGTGTTGGTTCTGTAAAAGCCACCTGAATGGAAAGCAGCGTATAACTTCACTAGGCAGTTACCACTACATTCGTGGCATCGTTCGAGGAAAGCGCAGCACGTGTCGCTCTTGCCACATACATCAGTAGAAAGGCAGCCATCATCACCAACCAAGAGGGACGAAAGCCATTTCAAGCTCAACCATAGAATGCCCGAATCAACACACTCTGCATCACCAGTACATGTCCGACGTTTGTTCGTGACCAGCATCACTTTCAACATTCGCTATCGACGCATCGCCCGCAATGGATGAATCGTCAATCACCACGCCCCTGCTCGCGCCTCCCAGCGGATTACCCACGCCAGCTGCATATGGCCGAACCCAGGATCACGTATGTTCGAGCGATCACTTCGCTACTTCGCTAACCATCGCAGCCTGCATTCCTTCGAGTGTGCCATTCGCCGTGGCGATAGCTTCCCCAGAATGCACTCTTCTACATCCGTGGCTTCCTCCTCGCCTACCTCATTGCCGCCAGCATCATGATCCTCGACTACAAGGTGGAGCAGGAAGAGTCCAAGTTCTCGGACTGGCGCATCATCTTTGAGCTCGAAATCATCAGCTTCGGCCTTCTCCTGGCTTACCACGCGACCGTCTTTGTATGCCACCCGGTCACGGCCTTGGGTGCAAGCTAACCAGACAGTCCTGGACCTTTACCCACCTCTACTTCCCGCGCATTGAAGATCGCCGATCCGGCTGGGAGTATCGGGTCCTGCGGTTCCTCTCGCTTCCAGCCAACATGAACAGCCTCCGGAAGCAGTTCTACTTTACGCTCTTCTACTTTTTGACGTCCATCTTCGCTATCATCAACACGATACTGTACTTTTTCGTCACGCTGCCTCACGCAGGCTCTGGGGATGACAGCTCACCTGCTGAGCCAGAACCTTCAGGTCTGGGCATATCAAAGTCGCCCACAGAGCTTCGAGACTTTGGCATCAGTCAGTCACCTCTTCTGCCTTACGGCACTGCCGGAAAGACGCCACTCACGGACATGTTTGGTGAGGGTTGGTTTGAGGCTTTTGCAATACTGAACCTCTTCGTCATCTCCACTTTGATAGTTCTCGTCGAGATTCTGTTTCTCAACAGCGTCAAGCGTCCATATGCCATTGGTGCCCACATCTTCGGGCTCCTTTTCCTTTCCGGGCTCTACGTAGCTTGGGCTGCTGTTGGCAGGACCGTCACGGGAACCGGTCCTTTCTGGCTAGACGGTGATGAGGCAGGTTCGCGGGAGGCTGTTATCGCAAACACGATTGGTTTTGTCGTGCTGTCGCCGTTCAGTATGTTGTGGCCTACTTCTGGAGGATGCCACTGACAATGGACAGTATTTGCCCTCGTCTACGGCTTTATCGCGATTCGAGAGACAATTGTCAAGTCATTCCAGCTTTCTCGCATGCGAATTGCTGCCGCCGCCGCTCGCGATGATTAAATGGGGGGTTGCGAGCAGGATGTGTGTGGACAACAGAGAGAAGTGGTAGGATCTGGAGGAGCGTCCGCGGCTGTGCGGTCCACCTAGAACTGATTCGTCTTGCGTATCCTAATAAAACCATGCTTCCAACCCATACTTGTTCTCAGCTGGAGGCACGGGCGTGTTCTTGCTGTAGAGCCGTCACCAACGAACAAACCCAAACATTCACGGATACACTGGTCAACAGTCGTATCCCTCATTCCAACTCGCTGTCTGTTGGTGATGGAAGTAAATGGTTTTCGACAACCCAATTCGAGGAGACTTCTGTGACAATCTGCCCCGAGCGTCATAAGCTGTTTGTTAATTCATCGTTCCTTCTATGCCACAAACCTCTTGAAGGTGATACAGGTGCATGCATAGCTACATCGCGGTTTGATTGAACATGCGTGGATATTGCCCAGACTTTATTCTTAGCCTCGTCTTGTTAAGATCACAGGATGCTATAGCTGTAAGTTTGTACACTATCTACGCCCAGTCGGCGACTGTGCGTGAAACCACCGAAAAATACGCAAGCGACATCCTCAAGCACCCCTACCTTCACAATGATGCTGCTCCGAGCATGAGTCGCGACATCATCTTTTCCTAACTTCTGTATTTCCCTCCAGCTTGTTGACTAAGTTGCGAGACGCTATTCTGATTTCTTGCACTACATCGCACCAATGTCGTTGGCATTCGATCCGTACGTCCGCGTTCTGGCCTTGAGGAAGCCGTCAGCCAGGCGGTCACGCGGTCAAAAGTGGTAACCGTTGGGTAGCGGTGACATTGCTTTTCTTTGACGGCCTAGGCCCAACTGCAGTTCCGAATTGAAGCCCGAAGTAACTCGACGCTGTCGGCAGCTGTCCCGTGATCCTCGTCGCCCCATGTTGACTGCGGATGGCCCCGAAGCCCGTGCTCGAGACATGGTTTGGAGCCGGTAAGACCCCCGTCGAAGCATTCAGCAGAGCACTCGTTGACAATCGGGATTACCCGCCCAATGGGGTCCGGGCGAGTGAAGCCAAGTCTTGAGACCTCATCAGACATTTTGCTTGTTCAGCATTTGCCTGCGAGTACACGACACAAGCGGGGTAATCGTGGTCAACAGTGACGAAGTCAGGCTGTGGACGATCACGTGAACGTCCACGGGATTTCGGCAGCTGTCTGATGTGTCGTGCTGCGCTGTCGTGCTGTGCTGTGCAGTGCTGTGTAGTGCTATGCTGGCACGTCCTCGCTGATCCCTTGGCCTAGAACCCTCGTCGGGCGCTTCAGCTCGACTGCTGCCTGAGCCGGGTGTCCTCGATGACCAAGCCGAGTCACGAGTGCCATTGGGCTCTCTGACCGCCGCCAATGCCCAATCGACGAAAGCATGTTGCGTTCGCTGACTGGATGGTCGAGGACGGGCTGTGCAGATTGTCACGGTGGTACAACCCGAGCCAGTGGTGTTGTTGTTGACGCGGAGCACGCCCAGCCACCGGGGCCCCTGTTAGTGCCCGTGCCTGCCCCTGGCCTGGCGTAGCCCCTCCCCCGCCCTCACAAGGCAGCACTAGATAAATAACACGGGCAGCCCCCGCCATCACGGACTTGTGTTTGGTTTCCCCCCTCCCCCCCTCTTCACCACAGCAAACTGGGTCGCAAAGTCACACCTGGGATATCTCCTAGTCCGCTCGTTTACACGTCCTTCTCTGAGATATTTTCCACCCGGGCCCTCCGTCAATCATTTGTTCGTGCGTTTTCTCTCTCTCCCCCCTCTCTCTCCGAATCTCCTCTCGCCGCTCTTTTCGTCGCTCTCTACAAGTACGATCAACGACACGCTGTCTTTCGATAATCCCGAGCACTCGCCAACCTTTTTCTTCCTCGCAACAGCAACCATGTTCAAGCGCTCGTTCAGGTCGCAAGACCCCAGCCGAGTCGACAAGGCTGCGCGCCTCAAGAAGAACAACTCAGTCCGGGATCCCCAGAAGCTGTCGAGACTGCAACGGTCGCTCACCGAGGAGACTCAGGCCAAGCCGGTGCCAGCACCGGCGGTCAAGAGCAC